TCGATTTAAAGGGTTTGAGCCTTTTGCACAGGTTTATTGTTGAGAATAGACCATTCCAAATTGTTTAAAATGGGACCTCATGACCATGGCAAAAGTCAAAAGGGTTCGTAAGGCAACTTAGTGACTCTTTTAAAAGGATATGTGTCATTTAGCAAAGGTTTATTTTTAGAAAAATAAACGTCCAAGTCCGCTGAATGTTACCTGATGAACTAAAAAGAATTTTAACATGACCTTTTGACCTAAACGGTGTACCTTACAAGAGCCACATGTTGTATCAGTTACCTTGATAAATTATAATTTTTGAAAGTTTATACAGGTAAGAATCCTTACTGCTGAGTCCAGGCAAATGAAAGGACAATGATATGAACGATGTTTTTTTTTTCTTACGTGTTCCTATAGCTTTGATGATTTGATGATATAAGTTGTTAACATTTGTTACAGAATTGGATATTTGAATTATATCTAAAAGGATTGGTTAATACTGCTTTAATTAGACGTTAGTTTACTTTTATTCCTGCACGGGTTATCCCTATTATGAAATGTGATTAATGAATTTATACAATATGTGTCATGTTCGGAGCACTGCATATGAAAAAGTTGTTGGTAAATGTAGGTTCGGGAACACAATAATTTAAGAGCAGTAAATTGGATTGGAACTACATAATTCTTTAAAATCAGCAAACACTTCACGTAAAAGAAACATTACCAACACGTGTTACAATTTGAATCAGCTATGGACCTTATGTTTTCAATGTACAGCAGCATAGCATTATTTGTGTGAATTTACAAACTTATTAATCATTATAAACTTTTTTGAATTTTCCTCGGAGTTCAGTATTTTTGTGATTTTACTTTTTACAAATATTGAGACGTTATGTTCTTAATTAGTTTCATAAACACAATGATCAACGCAGATATGAACATATTGTTCTCTGAAGGGACAAGTCTTATCTTGGAACCGGCACATCGAAGATATCATGTATATAAACCACAGTTGAAACAATATTCCAGGGCTCGATTCTCCTTGACAGGTAAGTGTGGCTTACAATGAAGCTTTTACGGCATTGGTTTTTAACGATGAAGTTCACCATTCGAAAGTTTACTGACGCAATCATCATATGGTTATACCTTATAGTATTTTTTGTCTAAGATGACCACGAAAAGGTTCCATGTTTCGTACATAAGTAGATACTATATCGACTTAATTTCCTTGGTTTGTAATCATCGATTGCGAGTTCACATCCAATGAACGAGAATCAACGTATGGATTAAACATGTTTTTTGCAACTACATTTGTAGGTATCTCCTCTCACTTATTCACACCTGCTCCTCACACATTATTTTTTGTAAATTCGGTGTATTTTTATAAATACTTAATACAACATTTATGTCGGTTTGCTCATTATAATTTCAGCAAATATACAGATAACAAAGCACTGATTTGACTTTAATATTTGAGAATTTAAAGGCCGCAATAAAGGTTAAACCTGAATCTTGAACTTACGCTACAGGCCTAAACATATATTTTGTGAGTACTGAATCTGATAAAATATTTAAATTGATCGATTATTGACTTATTATTGATTTTTTGCATCAAACGGATGGTTCATTGCCGTATCACTTCCTGTATGGTTAACTTAATATGTATTTCCTGTCATTTGAAATAGGGTCGTCATTTTTCCCTCCTGGTTCCAACATGTCTCAATTAAAATTCATTTCAAATTGATTAAGGAAATGACTGAGTATTGTTACAACTTATTTATTGATGTAAACAATAAAGGAATCAAGTACCTGGGTAATCCATGGTCATGGTCAAGTATTGATTGTGAATATGTTTTTTTTTTTTCCTGTAGTGTTTCTGTTCCTACGATTTACCGTTTTGGAAAATGAAATGTGGAAATTCGTCAACATGTAACTTCATCATTACAGGCATTGACACCACTGAATTATGAAGATACAATACAGTCTCGTATACCTCATTTTAAATTTAAAATCAGCTGTTTCAAAATAACTAGCCTTTTAAAACACTATTCCAAACTGGTTTCATATAAATAACGGAATTAAAAAACACAAAGAAATGACAGGTCCGCGTCATTTGTTTTGAGATATATTCAATTAAAAATTTGGCAGGAAATGATTCTCATTTAACATTGTCACCTTTTTTTTCTTTCAAAAACTATGAAAAAATAACAGGGATTTTGTAAGATTTTCAAAAATGGCTATTTAAATTATATGTTAAAAGATTATTAAAAGACTTGTTTGGGACTAGCGGATAAAATATATATTGGCACTGTACGGATAAAACTGGAGGATTACGAATATCTGACAAAAGGTCAATAAACAGAAAAAGCAAACATCCTTAGATAAAGTGCGGATGAGCCAAGTACAAATGAACAGCCCATGCAACAACAACAAAATATCAAAAGTGTACTTTTAACTCTAAATTGTTACATGTCATAAGATAAGGAGAATTCAAATCAGCATGTTTTTTTTTTTTTTTTTTTTTTTTTGGTACTTTATGAGTTCTTATCGTGGTTTATCAACAAAAAAACTATGAAACAAGAAATGTCCCATACTTATCGGTATTCTGTATGTTTACAGTTAGTATACATGATCGATGTTAGCATTTAACTAATAATAGTATGTGTCTTTTTATGTATGGTTTAAATGTAAATAATAAATAATTTTTTTTATTGATGTTCCGTATGCTATGTAAAAGAGAGACGAAAGATACCAGAGAGACAGTCAAACTCATAGATCGAAAACAAACTGACAACGCCATGGACAAAAGTAAAAAGACAAACAGACAAATAATAGTACAGATGACACAACATAGAAAACTAAAGACTAAGCAACACGAACCCCACCAAAAACTGGGGGTGATCTCAGGTGCTCCGGAAGGGTAAGCAGATTCTGCTCCACATGTGGCACCCGTCGTGTTGCTTATGTTATAACAAATCCGGTAAATAGTCTTATTTGGTAGGTCACATTCGTGAAAAGGAAAGGGTATTGTAGTTACGACATAAGGAACATATCCGATATCATCTGTGAAACGGTTATTCCATAACGGTCAACCAACTCGTGCTGGCGTCCGAATATACACCAAATTAAATTACGAGTCCATTAAATGCTGCGATTCTAGTCTTAACAATATCTGTACAACTAAATTCAATCTAACCGTTGCACAATTTATCACAAAATGCTCGACATACATGCCATAAGGTCCTAATTTTTAGTTTAGATAATTATCCGTATACTATTGGTCTTTTTTCGTTTTTGCCATGGCAATGCCTGTTTATTCCCATATGAGTTTGAAAGTCCCTTTGATATATTTCGCTTCTCTTTTATAATGTTCAATGGAATAAGTTATATTAGGAAAACTGAAAATAACTTGAATTGACTCAAATGAGCAGTACCATCCATGGCAACATATTAAAATTATGATGATCAAAGACAGCCAATATCATGGTAAAAGGTAACGAATATACACAAAAACAGTTCACACAACAAATCACAAGGGAAAAAAGTATATTGATGATATTTTTTCGTTAAATAATCAAGAATTTTCTAAATATACTGCCGAAATTTACCCAAAAGGAACTTACTTAAAATAAATCAAATTTAAACGGTAATAACTGTCCTTTCCTAGATTTAGATATTTGGGTTTTACACGGGAAACTCCACACTAAAATTTACGACAAAAGGGAAGATTTTTCGTTCCCTATTGTTAATTTACCCTTTTTGGATGGTGATGTTCGTTTGGCACCATCTTACGCTGTTTATATTTCACAACTAGTTCGCTATGCCCGTGTCTGTTGTGACGGGCTTTTTTTTAACGAACGTAATTTATGTATTACTGGTAAATTATTAAGCCAGGGATTTCGTTACCACAAATGACTTAAAACCTTTACTAAATTCTTCCATAGATATAAAGATTTGGTTTTGAAGTTTGGTTGTACCTGTAGAAAACTTATTTCAAACGGGATAGCACATTCTCATTTTTACGAAAATTTTGTTTACCGTGCCCGGAAATTTAGAAACGATCCTGGTAAACTTATCGATCCTTTAAATAAACTTATTCTAAAAGGTTACCAATTCAACACTGTAATTAGATCATTAAATATTGTTTTTATTGGTAATAATATTAGTTTTGTTATCAGTAAATTAGAAGCAAACTAAATATTATTGTTATATACATATACACATTCATGGATCTACAATCTGTCGATACCTGTATCTTAGCATTGCAAAAGGTCATGTTTTTCTCTGAATGTTTAAGACGTCCTTACCCTAAATCCATTGGAAGTTGGATGTGTACTGATTGATAATTTAGTCTTTGATGCATGATTTTTTTTTTATTAGTTGTTAGTGGCTTTGAACTAGCTGTCAGTAACAGCGAGTACTCTCAGATCAGTAGTTAGTGTCTTTTTGTTGTTGGGATATACAAGTACCCGGCCACGTCCACTCTGTGTTTTTGTTAGATGTATTTCTATTTGTATCTATCTGATGAGTTAAGCCTTTTTCAACTGATTTTTATAGTTCGTTCTTATGTTCTACTGTTACACCACTGTCCCAGGTATGGGGAGGGTTGGGACCCCCTAACATGTTTAATCCCGCCACATTCTGTATTTATGTGCCTGTCCCAAGTCAGGAACCTGTAATTCAGTGGTCGTCGTTTGTTGATGTGTTACATATTTGTTTTCGTTCATTTTTTGTACATAAATTAGACCGTTAGTTTTCTCGTTTGAATTGTTTTACATTTGTTATTTCGGTGCCTTTTTTAGCTGACTATGCGGTATGGGATTTGCTCATTGTTGAATGCCGTACTGTGACCTATAGTTGTTAATTTCTGTGTCATTTGGTCTCTTGTGGAGAGTTGTCTCATTGGCAATCATACCACATCTTCTTTTTTATATACACGGAACTAAAGATTTGGTAATGGTCTTATAATATACTAATACTCAATTACATACACTATAACTCTTATCCTGTGCTGTGTGTGTAACCTTTATTATCATAGCTTCAATGTGGAATTCAATATTTTATTATTAAAGATATATATATATATATCTATAATATTCACTTTAATTTGTAAGCTAAATAATTAAACATTTTGCAAAAAACCATATATAATGAAAAGACTGCAACTGCATAAAGTAAAACATTAAGTCTCATGAGAATTAACACCATCTGTCTTATTGATCGTTGGTCTAGGGGCTCACAGTATCTGATACTGTGTGCAGTCGCTGGTTGAGGTAGTGCAACCGTGCAATACCCATGCACATCATAGTTTTCTGGTCATTTGTTGAACCACCTGTTATTTTTTTATTATTGCGGAATGTTGCGATTTTAGATATCAATTCTCGTTGCTATTTTTGTCTAAAGCTTCTCCGGTTACCACTTGTATCTCAATTGCATGATCTAGACACAAAGTTTGCTCATTTATTATGTCACATGGTCCTGTGACGCTTTCAGGCCGATTAAGAACACCTACAGTTGTTCCTTTTTCTTGTAGTATACTATTGACATTTGCGGAATGTTTCAGTAGTAGATTGTTATTCAAGATATACCATATACTACTGCTTACGACAATCAGGATTATGAATAGAATACACCCAGTCCAGATGACGTAGTTTATATAATCACTGTCATTTATACGTTCATCTACAACAAAGAACATTTACACAGAGTGTTTAACAAGTAAAAACAAAGAAAACACGACTTCATACAAGAACAGATCATAAACTTTTGTAATACTAAACATACAATTATAAAATAGTTTACAGCCGCTTACCCTTTTGTTTTCTATCTAGTGTTCTGTGAACTTTTTCGTCTTTTTGTCTTTGATTAGTCATGGTGATGTCATATGTCTTCGTCTTATGAGTTAAATTGTCCATTTGTATCGCGGTCACAAAACATATATCAAAATGAGGATTATTTCTATAACAGTTTTTGTTTGTGTAGACATACCACCATTAAAAAAAATCAATAATTCCACTAAAACGTATATAACCATTATTTTCTAGCAAACGTGCATTGATTCTACATATGTTGGTTATATCGTATTCAATGAAATTGACAAAGATTGACGACCTCAAACTAAAATCTATGACAAACTTAATGATATCAACCTTTAAATTGTCAACTTCCAATTTTTAGTTATGGCATACCTTCTGGGCCATCGTATGGCGTTTATATACTAGTTCTTCAATTGATAAGTATACGTAACGCTCGAGCATGTTCATACTATATGTGCAGGGGTAATCTTCTTACACAAAAACTGACCCAGCACAATTTAAATTTTCGTTCTATCCGTTCCTTAGTGTTGGTCTTTGATCATTTCAGAAAATAAGATTTATATATATATATATATATATATAGAGTATAGAACTATTAGACGAACTGGCCTGATAGTTGATTATTTTTTTTTTTTTAAGCAGTTAAATTTGATTTTTGTCATTTTAACATCTACTTTCCAGAGAAATAAATAGTTATGGCTTGAAGTTGAAGTACAAAATTCGATGGTTATAGAAATTGAATGATTACTAAAATAATTGTTCCTGATGAACTTGATTTTTTATGGAGTGTTCATGACTCCAAATTCACAGATATTTTTTTTACCGTTTCTAAGATAACTTTAGACGAAATTTTGTACTTGATTCTCGGGAAAAAGTTTAGATTGTGAGGTTTCCGTGTGAAGTTTTTGAGAGACACTACACAAAATGACAAAAATATCATACTGGAGAAAGCTTAATAAAGGATACTGTAGATTCATTTATTTTCGTGGGTACCAATTTTCGTGGATTGATGAAAACTTGCATTTTCTTGGATACTTGATTTCGTGGTTTTGCCAAATACTGCATAAAATCTTAAAGAAAATTTGTAATTCGTTGAACATTTAAACGTTTACCTGTTCCCACGAAAATTGGTACCCAACGAATAATAATGAATCCACAGTAATAGGTTATTTTTTGTTACAAATGTATTTGTATTTGCAGTTTACGCAATTTGGTGTATGACTTATCATTGTTTGCACAATATAGTAATCATTATTTTACCTACATGACCTACGGGTCAAAAGTAAAATCACAAAAATACTGAACTCCGAGGAAAATTCAAAAAGCTGTCCCTAATCTAATGGCAAAATCAAAAGCTCAAACACATCAAACGAATGGATAACAACTGTCATATTCCTGACTTGGTACAGGCATTTTCTTATGTAGAAAATAGTGGATTGAACCTGGTTTTATAGCTAGCTTAACCTCTCACTTGTATGACAGTTGCATCAAATTCCATTATATTGACAACGATGCGTGAACAAAACAAACAGACATAATAGGTATAAATGTCAAAAATAGAGGTACAGCAGTCAATATTGTGTTATCATCTTGATCACTATAAAAACAAACAAATGTAACAAAGAAGATGCTTATATTATACGATTTTATGCATATGATAAATAACAGCTGTCCTGACTTCCAGGCAATGGCATGCTTTTCCGTAAATATTGATTTTCTATATTATAAATATTCCAACAGAATGTGTTTCCCTTATAATATTAATGTTTTGAAAACAATTACACTACGCTGGGAATATTATTCTATATAGGCAAAGCAGAAACCTAAAGCAGATTTTTCATGTAAGTTCTGAAATTATTCAATAAGTACATTGATGAGTAAATAACTTTATTCTTTATAAGATCATATATGTTAAGATGGAAATTTGTACTACAAATGACAAAAATGGTACAACATCGACCTTGATCATGTTGATATCATCTAAATGATAACTATTCTTCTTACCATTTCCCTCTGTACTATCCGTTTTATTTTCATATACATCAGTTGGTGTGTGATGGCTTTCGTCTAAAACAGTAACGTGATATAATATAAAACGGTATTTACATTTGCAATTTAAACGAGTCGCTTTGACAGTTCTTGAGGGATGAACCTGGAAATTTCAATGTTTGATACCGATCACTACTTAAAGGGGAACATATCTAATTCGCCCATATAAAGTTCGTAAAAGTTTGGATTTTTTTTTAAATCAGAAGTGGGATTTTTTAGCACACTTAATCAGAAGAGGGATTTTTTACCACACTAAAATGTCGTATTGTACTTTAGAGACAAATCAATTTATGCTAAACGCGTAGATGTATGTCCATTAAAACAATATTTTACAAAAGCATGAACAATTTGCAATATATTTTATCAACATGGTCCTTGGCAGTTACAAGGAAGGATTAGCAACATTGTTATTTTTTAATTAGTTTGCTTTGAGATCATAGCAATTCAACTAGATATATAAGCATTACGAACTATATTTTGTGAATAAGACATTACAGTGCAATTAACTTAATTCTGTGGGACAGATATGTACATGTATATATATATATATGCAATCAATTGTAAAATAGTTTTAAGTGACACATATTTACATACGAGACTTACCTAACTTACGTTCAATACCCAATAGTGTAATATATTTTTCTGTAGAATATTTATTTACAGTTATACAAATCGTTAAATAAAGAAACAGCCGAACTTTCATTTACTTGAACAATACAACATTCAAATTAAACAATGTAACTGTTGCCATGTTCGTATTTGTGCAAGACCTCACTACTTTTGACCGACAGAACGCTATCAAACCAGAAAAATTATAAATTAAAAAAAAGTATTGATTGTTCATAAAACAATCGTGTGTATTGTAGCTCCAGAAATTATATCATCTAGTAGATTTCAAAGCATTAGAATCGTAAATCTGATATTCCGAATTGCATAAATAAGAAGTTATATATATATATGAACAATATAGCTTACTGTAAACAATATTCATAGTATGTCGCGAAACATTCATGGTTAAGGTTGTTTGCTGGTTGTCATACATCAATGTAGAAACTTAAAACAAAAAACACAATGCATACATGTATAAATGAAAAAAAGTTTCAAATGATTTTTGTTTGTCTTCAAATACATAAGAAATTAACAATCAGGAGTCGGTTTCAAAAAAAAACTTACGACTAAGATTGATTGTAAGTCATGAACAATTCAGTATAATTACGATCAATTTTAGTCGTAAGTTTTTTTTTTTGTGTAACCGACTCCAGAGATATAAGGGATGATTTTCATATTAACTTTCCTGCAATTTACGCTAATGTGTTCTCATGTGAGTGTCATACTCAAGGAGCAGATTCTAATCCAACGGCATGATATTTTTTTCTGCAATTGACCATTCATTTTACGAATAAATATGAACTTGTGCAACTGTCGTATCATTAGATGAAAGGTTCAATAATATGTTATAACTAACTGCTTTATTGATTGTTTTCTACTCAACGCCCAGTGGCAAATAGTATATGCATATTAAGGTTTATATTACATACACAATTAATTCAGCGAATAAATCTGCAGGTAGGTCTAGCGGGATGAAATAAGGAATTTCGTCGCTTTCATTGGTAAATTGAGGTAGCTTGGATATGATTAGAACGTTTGCCTTGCAAGAGGCCGTCTACTGACTCCCCAATCAATTGTTTTAATCATTCGTTAATGTGCCGGGACCTTGTTACTCTCCCTAATTTTGTTTATTGATTTGAATTAACTCTGTTAGAGTGGTTGACAATCAAATTTAATACATTTTCAATGATGACTTCTTCTATGAACTGCATGCTGATTTCACACATTCATCTTAGTTTGATTTTGTTTGTTTATGTGAGTACTTTCGACTTGTCCCAGGAATCGGTCTTATTCAGTTACATGTAAGTGTTCTACAAAATGTATGGATTTATAGTTCTTTCTTTTCAATTTCTAAAATAAATGTGACATTCTTTTAAAAACAAAATGTTCAAAAACTATATGCAATTATAACATTAACAATGATGAGTATACACATTAAAGAATACCTACATTTTTCAGTCGAAATTTCTGGGTGCAATGACACGCATCCTTGTCTACTATCACACCTAAAACGCACGAAACAATTACAATGTAGTTCGTCAACATTCAAACACACTTGGTTTCACACCCTACTTTGTACAAGACCGACACGCTGACCGGATATTTTAACGTACTATATTACAAGGCAACAGTCCACATGAAGACATGTAATCCCTTCTGGACTCCGAGCTGACCAATATTTGCTCAAACTTTTTAATGCACATGCTGAGCGGAGAAGCAGCAAATACTACTTGCAAACTATTTTGTTTGACCATGACATGGAATAGAACCTATGACCTGCCGTGCTGACCTCGAGCACGCCACTACAAGACAACCAAGGCGGTACAAAATAAGGATGTGAACGTTAACTTAACGGTTATAAAATGTTGAAGCCAATGGACTTCATTGTTCACCACGTAAATTATTACTGACTATATAATATATTATGTACATGTATTTCGAATTATTTTATTTTTGTGTAAACACATTGTACACGTTAATGTTAACCGTATGTTAATGGATTTACTCTATTTTAAACCATTACATTTGACATTATAAGAAATAATATGTATTTGTCGTTTTTCCTCGATTTGTAGGTTTTGATTGTCCCTTGGATTCTGTTTACATTTGTGTACGGTATATCTGCTGGGTATGCGTATTAAAGAGAGACAATACAAAATTTAAGTTATTAGCCAGAACAATGACAACAAACTGTTTTCCTTTAAAGTGATAATGATAAAAATATCAGCGATTAAATTTACATGTTTTAAGAATGATAAAAACTAGATGTTATGTGAACGCCATTGAAATAGGCAGACACATGAGCCTCAAATATTTTATTTATTTCGCTGTGATTTATATCAGTCCTTTAAAAGGAACAGTTCAGTTTCTTTTTCTCTGAAAAAGAAGGTCTGAAAAAGAAGGAGTTAGAAAGATTGAATTCAGTACATACCTTTCCTCTTTTGTACAGTGACATGTATGCGCACATTTGTTCCCGAATTTATTTGTCGTACATGGTTTACAAGGTTCTCCATTTGAAGTTGTAAACCCTCTTTGACATTCTATAACGATTAACTATGCATACAACTTATTTCCCTTTAGATGTTGTTTTATGGACATGTTTGTTTCATTAGAATCTTTAATTTTGATTAGTAGACAACAATCGCGACACTTTCCAAAATTATATATACGTGATTCTCACGACAACGTCACAACAAAGCATGAGTAAACAAATCAAAAGCTTGATATAACTCGAAGCATAAGAAGACATGTACTTATAAGAATTGCATGATTATTTTCGTAATTTTATAGGGTTGTAAAGGCGCTGATCGTGCACTCAGTTGTAGTATGAAGATCTTCCGCGTTTCACATTTGTACAACATGTACATCAGTCAACGCTTTACCAACTCCAATAACATTACACAAAGAAGCATTCAGTTCTAAATAGTATATTGTTGATGGTAACTAATCAGGATCTCCAATATGATTTTGTTTGTACTCGTCTAAGTTTTTTACTTTATATATAATCATAATCATGGCTTTTTCTTTATTATTCAAATAGACAATAAATGATTCACATCCAGAAAACAAATGATTAATACTAAGAACATTTTTTTTTCTTATTTTCTTTTAAGAAGTTTCGCATAATTTAACGGTAAACTCAAACACCGATCGAGTTTTAAGCATGTAAAACACATATGCCGAATGATGATTACTGCGTTATCGACTTGTATATGGTCATATATACATATACATCTACGAAAAGGATTAAAACAGTTTTAACATCATTTCTGTTATTGTTTCACCATAAATATTCTGTCAAAAAACATGAACATGTTCACTGCAACCGAAAGGAAATACAAAATAATTAGCATGCACTGGATTATTTTTCCCTTGTAATTGCATAAACAATGTGTATTCAATGTAAGGTGTTCGTTGTTATTCTGTGGTTTACATGTTGAAATGTACTATAATTATATTATTTATTTATGTATTTCTCTGTCCGGAATGTTCTTGCATTTATTTGTATTGTATTCCTGTCACGTAATGTTGTCATTTTAGCGGTATTTTCAACATTGCCATATAAGCTGGAGGTTTGGCTATCCATAAAACCAGGTTCAACCCACCATTTTTTCTTAAAATGTCCTGTACCAAGTCAGGAATATGGCAGTTGTTATCACATAGTCCGTTTCTATGTATGTTGGCGTTTGTTTTTGTAGCAGTTCAGTGTTTCTGTTGTTCCGTTTTTCTTTCTTCTTATAGTTGATGTGTTTACCTCAGTTTTGATTTGCGACCCGGATTTGTTTCAGCTAAATCGATTTATGACTATTGAACAGCGGTTTACTACTATTGCCTTTATTTAAAATGTTTTGACCTAAAAGTGTGAATTATTTTAATTAGATACTTTGTATGTGCCTAACTCCGGGTGCGGGTTTTTCTCGGTGTGTTGAAGACCCCTTGGTGGTCTTGGGTTGATGTCTCTTTGACCCATTTCCCGTTTCCAATCTTAATTTTATTTGAACGTACCAACGCATTTCCCATTTTTCTCTTCGAAATTCCGGCAACAGAAATAGTTCATATAATATGTTGTTTTCCCATAAAAATGTGCACTTAAAAAGAGATATAAATTGAATCATAATTAAATGTCCAAAAAAATATTTTACAAATCATTTCCATATGCATTGTATTGAAGCCGGATACGGCCAATTTTGCAATGTCGTCTTTATTTTTGTTTAAGGCGACAACGCGGAAAAAAAGATAACATGAAAACAGTGTGACAATCTTTCCACTTGAGGCATCGGATTTTAAGTACCCTTTCTGACCGAGCGTAACTGCGTATCTATACATCTCGCAATGTCAAACGAACGTCACACTTGACAATGGTTTTACCTCCTGTCGGAAGAAAACCAAATTGACTACATTGACCCAAGTCAACACTATGTTATAACAGTAATATACAGAATTTGTATATTATAACAGGCCAGTACATGTATACAAAATTATTTTGACGCGCAAACTTGATCATACCTTTTTACTGTTGAACACTTTGTCTGTCCTGGTTCTGAAAAACCTTTTGAACAAAAGACAGCAAGCACAAAAATCTGCACTTTAAGCATTCTGTTAACACCAGTTTGACAGTGAATGTATAATTATTAATTAACTGATAGAGGAAATGATCAAATACAAGGAAATGTTTTTTTTTATAATCAGAAAAGAATTGATTTTCCCGGAAGGTGTCTGTATATCTGGGGATTCATAATTCAATGTACGGCTGCATCATACAATGTAATGTACTTAGTCTAGTCTTTGATGTAGAATAATCGTGATTTACGGAAAGTAACCATTATTAAAGATTTATTTATCCGAAGGAAAGTTATATATAACAGATTCAACAGTTTCAAATATGTTTCATAGTTTGTTGTAAAGAAAATTTATTTCTAAAAAAGATTTATGCACTTGCCGAATCGCTCGTGTTAGACAGCTAGTCTCTATCCGCATCAAGTTCAAGGGTTAATTTAGAAATATTCATATTTTTTTAATTGTTTGATTGTCCAGCTGTTCAATTATTTAATTGTATTAGTTCAGAGTTTAATGTTAATTTAAGTATGGATGAACGTGATTGTTTTGGAGTACATATCACACTTCCAGCAGTGTGACACGAGAAATAGCTCTTCATGCGAGAAATTAATAAGAGACCACAACATCAAGAGAATGAATCTTAAATCATGTATAGATAAACATTTTACAGTACAATTTATAATAGTAAAGCAATTTAAATATCAGACTATTGTTACATTTAGTAAAGATGAGATATATCTTTCTGAAAGGACGGACACAAAACGGACACAATTGAATGATTTAGACTTTCATTGCCAAAATCGCATTAAAACTTTTAACACAGTCTCAAGTTAACTTTGTTTACTCTAAATTATCCTGGCTGTGTTTGGATATACGCCTAAGGCAGCCTATGGTTACCCATAGGTATCTTTGGATACCAATGGTTTGGTATTTTGATATATAGAATATCAAACCAAAGGTACCTATGGATAACCAAAGGCCACATCTGGCGTATATCCAAACACAGCCCCTGTTACAAATACGTAGCCAAGCTTAAAAAAAAACAATCGTTAACTGAATCGTTAATGTATTTCTGCCTGATGTATCCGGAGTATAAATTAGACTATTTTCTGTATATATATACAATATTTATAGGTTTCAAAAAGAGAGGAAATAAGATATCGTTTGATATCAACTCGAGTTATTTAATTTCAAAATGAACAATAAACAAGCATTTCCATTTCAATAATAAGAATACATCTTAGTTTCATACGCTTATATTGTATTTCCGTATAAAATTTAACATCAATGAAATCACGTGCTATCCATGACAATGATGAGACAATGCACAGAAAAACAAACAAAAGGCTTAATCTAACTTGTTATTTCGATTCCACATTTTAGGTATGAAGCGCTTGTACACCCTAATAAAACAACAACAAAAAAAGATATCAAATTGTTATTAAGTTTTTAAAACTTTTCTCTTTTGGTAAAATTAATCCTTGTGTAAAAAAAAAATATCCGCTTTCGATGTCAAATATTTTAAAACATCAGAAGCTTGTGAATGCTTCGGATTGCACTCAAATTTGATAACATTAATACTTTCAGGTGAAATACATGAGTGTTTTGTATAGAATTGAAGACATCACAAATCTTCGCTGTCACGGCAATAATAGGAGTCCGTTGTAAACTTTAGTTGTTAGTCATCATTCGCCTAACGAATAGCACATTCGGTACACAATGCAGAATAGGCCAACCAAATTAACGAATTTTTCGTTTTACTTATTCATATAACACCCCGTTCAGTGTGATCCGAGAAATGTCTCATCATGAGGAAACTATACAACAGGCGTCAACAATTAACCATAAGAGAAAAGAATGTATTCGATAAAAAAATGCCACATACATATTACTATTTCTTTATAAAGAAAAATGTCCGACTCTCATAACGTTTCCAATTGGCTATCAAATTTTGTGTTTCGACTATATTTTTTAAATTGCTGACCAGTATTTCTTTCTTTTTCAACTTTTTATTTGTGTTAGGTTTTTTCCTGTCAAAGTATGAAATCATGTATTCCATATCGTCTTCCCCACTATTAGACAATCCCTACTCTTTATTTTATCATAATATCTTTGAAATTTCTGTGTGATGATAAATTTGGGCTTACATCTAATCTATGTGCAAAGGCTTCAGCTATTTAAATCATAGTTATTATAACAATTACAGTGGTGGATCATGGAATTTTCAAAAAGGCGCAAAGGGGCAAACCGGAAATGGTACGCTGAAAGGCGAAGGGCAGCAGTTAAACTATATACAAATATGTAGTAAGAACACTGAGTGTACATAATAATAACCCCAACCTCCATGTGCATCCATCCTGAATCCATCGATCAATATTTATTTTAGTTGTTAAATTATAAAAAAATAAGAATAATTTCAGTCCTGATTTGTAATAATTTATATCCAAATACACTTACTAAGTATTCGTTTTTGTCTTTATATGTCACTAATGTATTTAAATTTCGTGTTGCTTATGTTTGCAACTGTTGATAGCCCAATTATGTGAGTTTTATTTTACTTAAAATTTAAAGGTATTATATTATTTAAGAGTAAATGCAACTCAGACATGTAAACATAATACATGTCTTCATAATATAGATGTTAATATAAAAACGAAGATGTGGTATGATTGCCAATGAGACAACTCTCCATAAGAGACCAAATGACACAGAAATTAACAACTAAAGGTCACCGTACGGCCTTCAACAATGAACAAAGACCATACCGCACAGTCAGCTATAAAAGGCCCCGAAATGACAATGTAAATCAATTCAAACGAGAAAACTAACGGCCTAATTTATGTACAAAAAACGAAAAACAAATATGTAACACATAAACAAACGACAACCACTGAATTACCTTTTTTTAAAGATGGGCGTCCAGTTGTCTATGCAGACTATATACACAGCCATATAAAAAAGGAGATGTGGTATGATTGCCAATGAGACAACTATCCACCAAAGTTCAAATAAAGTGGATGTAAGCAATTATAGGCAACCGTACGTCCTTCAGCAATGAGAAAAACCCATACCGTATAGGTGGTCATTATAGTATTGGGAATTGTATCCGAAGCCTCGTTTAGAGTGAGTGCTTTTCTTTCTGTGCGTATTTTTATCCATCAATATCAGTCAATATTGGGACATTTCATCCGATGAATCATTCACCGTGAGTGCCACTCTCTCTGCACGTTATAGAACTCTTATAGTAAAGCATCAGGATCTGTAACAGACAGGATGCAATGCAAAGGCAGAATTTGTGCTCCTAACATAATTCACTCCTTTTCAAGTGGCAGCCGAAACCTGCCATTCATCTCTTTCGACCAATTTTGAATTTGTTCTGGTCCTAAACAATATGCATGAAATGTTTGTCACTTGATGTTACGCCAACAACAATCGTGCTTAAATCTGCCACAATATACATTAAAATATTACATAAATTAAAAATTATTTTTCTCGAACTGTCAATATATACACTGTTATAAAAATATTGTAAACAAACTTGTCAATTAAGTAACATTAATGGTTAAATAGATAGTTCATATGCATTATATTATACATTAAGGTGCATTTTACTTGAACACAACATATATATTGTGGAACTACATTTATGGTTAATCTAGATTTTTTATTTATTCAATTGCAAACTTTGTCTAGTTGAGAATAGAGGGATACAAGGCCAATTTCAATTTTTGGTTGTTTAATTTATGGAGTGTGACTTCTACACATACAGAGATATTCCTTTATGTTAACTTCGCCGATTAAACAATCGTCGTGTGCGACACCCTCAGAATCACGCTGAAATTGCCTTTGACTCCTACTTATTTCTTTAGAGATATAACACTGTAGAAATAAATGTATTGTACAAGATTGACCTGGTAAGGTTTTAATGAAGCAATCATTAATTTGACAATTGGATCACATTCCCTCAAAAGTATTGTACATTTTTCAAGCTTCACATTATGATATTAAAGCGATACTCCCTTTGTCCGTCTTCGTCAGAACATGAAAGTTTTGTTTTAACACGTACTTTTAATTTCAAATATATATACAAATGCACTGTTTTCAAACTATAACCCCAGATGTTATGAATGATTCTTACTCTGTCTTTGTATCGATATCAATCTTTAAATTACCCCTTACCCCTCTACCCTTTCCAACCGCCTCGTTGGTCTCGTGGTAGCGTGTTCGCCTCGAGTGCGGAATGCGGGATTACGTGGGTCCAAACCCCGACCGGATGAACCCAAAGACTTTAAAATTGGTATTTGCTGCTTCTCCGCTAAGCACGCGGCATTTAGAGTAAGAGCAAAGCCTGTTACCCTGTGAACTAGCAAGTTAAGAATCCGAATCAGCGTTTCGTTCTTGTACAAATTAGGGTTAATAGTCGTATTACAATAACATGTTTTCGTCCTGAATATGCATATTAATTTGCCGCTGGGCGTTAAGCAGCCATACATCATAATAATTTAACCTTTCAAATCACTACACCCGCCCATATATTTATTTAAGTGTCATCAAATACCAGAAGACCCATTTCAAGTATAACAACAGGCTAAATATCATCACCATAATAATTGTTGTTTGTATTTGGTGTTTGTAAAATCGTAGGTGTACAATTAAAAGTTTAATATATATATATATGATAAA